ACATCCCATAGGCAAAGCTGGGAAGATTGCATCTGGCCCAGCTTTCAGTGTTTCTCCTTCTTCCTGCCATCCCTTCAGGAGCGTAGGGAAAGTACTGCTTTCTGCAGATCTGGAGGCTCATGTATATTTTGGGAAGAGATAGGAATTTTCACTGACATGTACAAAGCAGGGCTGAACCCCACAGGCAAAGGCATGGAGGAGTGTGGTGCCTTCTGGGAATACACCCTGTGCCCCTCATCACCTACTATACCATGGTCACACCTGCAGAAGCCGCTTCTCCCCCGAGACCTGTGCTCCCTGCTCAGGTCATCTTTCCTTCCCTCCAGATGCTGTTCTGCTTGCTGCAGAAGCTTTATTATCTACCTCCTACTTTATCATCCTTTGAGCCCCATTTCCCGTAGTCACTTTCGGAAACATCCCTTTGTGTGACTTTCTCATCACCCTAACAAGGAAATGCTGTGTGTGTGTGTGTGTGTGTGTGTGTGTGTGTGTGTGTGTTGTTGACTCCAGTGACCACCGTCTCCATGCCCCTCCATACCAGTGGCCAGGCAGCATCCTCTAACTGTTGTCAGTGTCCTCTAACCAGAGCCCCCCGGGACACACCTGTAGTTGGACAAGCTGGGTCTGCTGCCCGTTGCTGAGGGGGAGACCTCACACTCTGGGGAGCCATGGAACCAATCAGAATGAGAGGGTGCTAGGAGAAAGGACCCCTAGAACTTGGGTTTGTGTCCAGTGATTAGGGAGGGGTGTTTAAAGAGGCAGGGCTTTGCTGTCAGGAAATGGGGTAACTCTGACTCACTGTCATGAGTCTTACCTGCAGGGAAGGCAGACCAGAGCAAAACTGAAATGTAGTTGGGAAAGCAGCAGCAGTTGCTCATTACCTGGGCTTTTTGGTATGTTCTAGCTTGGCCAACATTCGTGCTTCATCTGTGTTCAGGTGTGATTACCGTGTGGCTGTGTGTCTCTCTTGGTCCATCGCGGTCACAGATCGGCCTTTCTGATGCTGACTTTCCGCACAGTTGCTGATGCTCCCAGGACAAGCCCAGCCTAGCAGTGGGTGCCGGGCCAGCTTGCGAGTGCCAGGGGCTTCACCAGTCTGAACTGCTCCACTTCAAGTATTTGCCTTCTTGGTCTAAGCTTGTGCCTGCTTCCTCGTCCACCCCCTGCCAGCCCCCTTAGCTCCTGTGGGGCCTCAGCCCCTCCATGTTGTCCCAGTTTATCAACTTCTTCTAGGCTTACTGCTTTCCCTAGCCAGACAGACCCTGTGTGGTGATGAGCGACATTCCTTGGTATGTGGACAGCCACCCAGAAGCCCTCCCCTTGTCACGTCCTGTCATTGCCTTTGCCAGCCCCTTCTTCTGGGTGGGCCCCATCAGACACTGTTCCCCTCTAAGGTTTGTGGGCCCTTCAGCAGAGAGACATACAACCGTCAATGTGTGTTTCTACCCTCAGCAGTCCACAGAGCTGCCTAGCAATGCTCTTTTTCATAACTTGTTTATCCCCTGTTGTACCCCTGAAGCCGTGTGTTCACCATCTTCACCCTGAACCCCCTCCTTCCAGAAGGTAGTCTCAATCCCCCCTCTACTAAGAATACAGAACCATCTCATAGCCTCTACTGTAGCTTCCTTATTTTCCCTACTTTATTTTTTTCTAAGTCTCCACCCATCCTCCTTCCCTTGAACCTCTCTGAGGGAAAGAAATATTCATCCTTGTTTAGTCTGCCCCCTCCACTATGTTCCTGACCTTGTCCCCTCTTCTCAGTATCTGCCTTCCCCACCCCTACAACCCCTGCAGTGTGACCCCTTCCCTTCACAATGCAATTCCAGGAAGTGGTCTTCTCTGTCTGTGGACTCCCTCCCCATTCAGTCACACCTTAGCCGTTCTCTTCTCACCCCCGGACCAAAGGGAGCTCATCATCTCTTTTTCTTAAACTTAATTTCTGTAAACTCTACAGCAACAGACTAGAATTTTCCTTGAATCTCTTGAGACTATCCTCTCTAGATTCTCCTGACTCATCTTGGTTTTACTTCTTCATCATCCCAAGACTCTGACCCTCTACCTATTCCCCAACTTTCTGTGGGTTTTTTCCTTCCCCTATACCCATCTTTATAGTTCCCTTTCTCTCCTGTTTTCTCTTAACAATCTCAGCCATTCCCAAAACTTGAATAATTCACAAATTTTTCTCTTTCCTTGACCTCTGTTAGAAGCCTAGTTCAGTATTTCTAACTGCCTGCTGTGTATCTATAGCATGATAGATTATCAGTACTAAAACATCACTTATCTGAAACTAGATTCATCAGTCTCACCAGAACCAGAGTCTCTGTATGTTTTTGTCCCATTTCATGACATTCCCATTCTCTGTCACTGACAGTCATCTTAACCATAATATCCCATGGGTTCTGCCTTTGCGTTGTCTCTCCCATTTGGCCTCATCTTAGGGTGCTTGCCGAGTTACAGTTATGTTGTTAGGGAGCCTATTAACTTGTTAGTTAAGGGCAAGGGACTTGTCTTACTCTGCTTGTCACTCGGTGTCCAGCACAGCACCTCCTTACCCATGGACATCATCACTGTTTGTTGAGTGAACGACTATAAATTAAGCATTTTAATGCTTTGCTTGCTCTTCATGAACTATTTGCCATTGAACAATTTTCCATCATGAGAGCTCTAAATACTTTCATTCTTCACCAAGCAAGCACCAGAACAAAGTTTCATGCTCAGAACCCCAACCACGGTACTTCTGCTCTTTTTTAGGAAGAGCAATTAGGTGAGCGTGCATGGGTCGTGAAGCACTCACCTGACCTTCCTTGTTGAAAGACAGAAACCTAGGATTATTATGTTTTCATGGCATCTTTAGATCACTTACATCTCCCTTTATACATTGATTTTTCTGCTTTTTCTTTTCTTTATTTTTTAACAGGTTTTCAAAATGGAAACGATCACTACGACATAAGATGCTATTGATAGTACATCAATATGATTCAGCTGTTTCCCTGCCCAGCAGAGTGTGGCTGCTCTCTGCACAGCCTTGTAATACATATTAGTTACACAGACATTAGGGAAGCCCTTCCCATCCATATGTATGTGCGTGGCCCATGGAAGTTAATAACGCCATATATCACGTGCATGTAGAATGTAAAATGTACTTCACAATGACAGCAGGCTCGTAGAAAATGAATATTGGCTTACGATGAGAGGAAAACCAGGGAAAGATTTTTGTCTTTTCAAATCCACTGTTGAGTGAATTATTTGTTTCTGTGTCTCAGTATCGCAGACCCACATTCTGCCTTTTTTTTTTTTTTTTTTTTTTGGTCAATATATGCCCCTCTCTCCAGCCACCTTATTTCACTTCAACTACACGGATAACAAAAGGACCCCTTTGGAGAAATGAAAGATAGCAATTACACATTGGTATTCATGTTACAGGAGTCACACCGCCGTCCTCAGGGAGTTGAACAATGAATATCCAACATTAATTGCCACAGTAACTGAGCATCTGACCTTGCTGAAATGTAATACACCAGTTTTACATAGTAAAATTATTTGCCACTAAAAGATTTTTTAAATTATCATAAAATTATATTGTTTCGAGTGACCAATAATTTTTATTTTTGTCTCTACATTTTCTTGGGAGTCAGGACATCAGCAGTTGCAAGCATAATTTTATCACCAATTTGGTTGACAATTATGGCAAGATTAGTGCCTTTGTATTCTTAGGAAAGATGGATAAAATACATGGACATCCCTGGTAGATCTACGGAACTGATTAAGAATGTACAATGGACATAGTACATTTTACCCACTGGGGAGAAAAAAAAAAATTTTTTTCTTTAATGTTTGCACCTAATTATCAGTTGGATTTTCTTCCTGTGGCAGAAACATGCTAGGAACTCTGGGGCATGTTTCCCTTTTGAAAGAACTGATATCATTTTTAAGGTGAAGCCTACCTAGTGTCAACTTTTCTTGCCTTCCTCTTTTGCCCCAATCCTCAGAAATACAGAAGCTAGCTTTTCTTACTTGCATTTCACAGTTTTTTTTTTTTTCCCCTGGGCTACCTTACCCTTCCTGGGTGTCACACACTGGTAGAATTTCACACTCTATCCTCTGGAAGTGTTCATCACTCAGGGTCAGCCTCCACACTGCTGGGTCAGCAGTGAGCCGGACTCCAACAGAGCCACGTCAGCGGGCCACACTAGCTCTGGGCTGTGGAAGCTGTGTGTGCAGAAATGAATGATTGTTCAGCCTCCTCTCCTTTTTAAAAGGGACTGAGGTGAAGAAAGTCAGTGCACTCACCCGCGACATGCGAATTTCAGCCCAGATGAGATTCTAACTAGAGATCCATTTTTGCTTGTATTCTGGCAGAACTGGGACAGGATAAATTTGAAGTCCATCTTCTGTCTCCGGGGGTGGGGGGGAGGGGTTGGGGGGAATGAACTGAGTGATAGAATGGGTAGTTTTTTGCCCACCTTCTAAAGTAGGGCTATGAAGAATACTTAATATGGCTTGCTTATTGTTTTAGTGTTTTAAAGGATTTATGACTTTCCAGTTTTAATACAGTGAATATTTAATAAGCATTAACAAGATAAAAGAGAATACATATGCAATGAGCCTGTTGTGTCTTTTGAAACTTTGAGCTTTGGATGCCTTAATTCAAATCACTCAGGTAGTTTAAATGCAAGCTCTCCGAATCCCAGCCCCACTTTATTTATTTCTTCCCATTTCCTTGACAGTATTTATGTCTCCATAGTACTTGTCTGTGCCTATAGAATCTGAACCCAGACACTCTACCATCAGAGGGAGATTCTTGCCCTGACTCCTCCTTTTTTTCAGGATCTTTGCAGTAATCCTGGTGGACAGCGACTTGAGAAAACGCGGCTTCAGTTTGGCCCCTGTTTGAGGGGTTGGGGTTTGTTTGGTTTTGTTCTTGTGTTTGTTGGCGGGTTTGACTAATTTTCTCTCCCCTTTGTGTCCCGTCCGTCGCCCCCCGCTCCCCACGAGAGCAGGATGACGAAGTGGCGACCTTTGAGGTGAAGGAGCAGGAGCGGAACGTCCTGGTACTGAAGAGGGTGCAGAGCTGCGGCCCGGCCCCGCCAGCCGGCGGCGCCGAGCGGGATTGGAGGTGAGTTGCCCCGCGACGCGCGCCGCGCTCTCCTCGGCCCTGCCCGCCTCCCCTTCTCTCGCTCCCGCTGCCTGGCGGCCCTCCCTCCCCCCTCTTCTCTCCGCCTCTCGAGCGTTCTAGCTGACTGCAGAGCTCTTGGCAGCCAGATGGACTCAGTTCCCGGCGAAAGGACAGACATGGCAAGATCTTTGCGCTCTTAGGGGATGCCTTTGTTGGTAGCCGTTCACAATGGGCAGCTCCCGGCTGAGGGTCTTGGACCCTCAGCTAGAGAGGAAGGAATCCGCCGCGCTCTCGGACCGAGAGCTGCCCCTACCTACCTTCGATGTGCCTTATTTCAAATACATTGACGAGGAGGATGAGGACGATGAATGGAGCAGCCGCTCGCAGTCTTCCACCGAGGATGACTCGGTGGACTCTCTGCTCTCTGACAGATACGTGGTCGTGTCCGGGACCCCCGAGAAGATACTGGAGCACCTTCTGAATGACTTGCACCTGGAAGAAGTCCAGGACAAAGAAACAGGTAAGGGCAGCGGGTGTCTCCCCCTTCCAGACCCACCGCGGCGACCGCCCTTGTCAGTCCCCGGAGGGGCAAGGCTCGCGCCGCAGCCCAAACCGGCAGGGGCAGAAAGAGCGTTTGCTCTGTGCACCGCCCCGCTTGGCCTCGTGCTGTTGTGTTGCAATCCAGTAAATGGACACATGGAGACCCACGCAGCTGCCTGGGAAGTCGCTGTACAAAGAAAGCCCTAGGAAGGCAGATGTTCTTGTGTCTTTGGCAGTTTTTACCAAATCTCACCTAAAGGCAGTTGGCAAGAGGTTAGCGTTTTAATAGCCAGTGTTCTCTGGGAAGAAATACAAGGGATGAGCATTCACCTGGCCTGTGGGAAGCCCTGAGCTGAGGGGAGCAGCCTCCCTGTGGAAATGTCAGCAATTAATGCAAACTACTCAGCAACTGTCAGGGTAGCAGCAACTTCTGCCTTTTTCCAGGTGGTTTACACACTGCTCAGAGCAAGCTTGGCTGTGCAGAGTATCCTACTCTTAGCTTCGCAGACAAGAAACTATAATTCACTGAAGTCTTATTGATCAGACTTCTTGTCCTTTTCTAGCTCATCTGGGAGCCAAGTACCCATTTAGCTTTGTCACCCTTGCACTTTGGGAAACAGTACCATTGCGTGTACAGAACACCCCAACTATGCTTCCTTTATCACCAAAGGGCAAGTACTTACTTCTCTTCACCAGAATTTGTCATTTGTTCCAGCGTGGAATGATCGTTCCAGTGAATGGGCCTCTGGCTGCAGCCTCGATTCTGTAACTTGATATCCTGACTAAAATGTGCTGTTTGCTGCTAGCAGAGCACCTGTGTTCGTGGGTTGAATTCCTACAGAGTAACACCTTAGGTTTTTTCCCTCATAGGAAGGATTGTGAAATGACTGTGTAGGTGGGAGCAAGTTTCCTTGGGTCCCGGTAGGTTTTTGTCTGAATCTAATTGATATCTGACTCTAAATTGCATTATAAGGGACATGAAGAGAAACGAAGTTGTGTGAAGTATGTAAATGGGCTTTAAAAAAAAAAAGGAAAATGACCCAATCCCATATCCTACAGTAATGTTATACTTTGATCTCAAAAATCAAATAGATACTTTATTTTGTACAAGTTGGGGTGGGGGAAATCAGTAGCTATCATTTATACGCAGCCTAAAAGAAAAACATTCTCATGGCATTTGCTGGGTTGTTTTTGTATGTCTGTTGGTTAATATTTCGTGCATTTGAGCACTATTCCCATGTTCTGCTTCATCAGATATAATCATCATGGAACCAGGCATCATTTTCCATGTACTGATTACCAGGCTGCTTTACACAGGTGGTTTGGACTAGATTACAGGCAAATAAATAATCTGCCGCAAAGGGGACACCATTCAATGTGGATAGATGATTCGGGGGATTAAATGCTTGCTTCTTCTTAACAGCGCCACAGTTCTGGTCTGTGATGTGAGACTCTGTTTAGATCATGTGAGTAAGTGTAAAAATTATTAAAGCCAGTATTAGGCCTAACTTGATTTCTTTTTTTCTTTGTAATTGTTGGTGGTTTTTTGAGAAAGATGGCCTAATGCCCATAACAGGTTCCCACTATCTATCTAACACTGGGAATGAAAAGTCTCTTGGATGACTGTACCAATGCCAGGAATTGCCTGCTGCTGGAAACAGTGTTGTGCACGGTATCTAGTGACTGTTACACCTCGCCTGGGACCACATATGTCACTCTAGCCCAGTGCCCAGCAAAGCAAAGCAGCCCAGAGCTCAGTGGTTTGCCCTCAGCAGGGCAGGAGGAGGCCTCTTGGGGTCAGCCTCCCCTCGTTCCTACTCATTTCCTCAGAGTTTTCAGAGGGTGCGTGAAACTTCGCGTTTTTGTAGTGATACTTGAAAGAAAGCATGATAGCAACTTTTCCTGTGATTAACAGAGAACTTTAGGAAAAGGAAGAGTCAAATGTAGAGAGAGATTGATGAGTACGTAATAGGGAGGCCTAAGTGAAGTCACGTGTGGTTCTCCAAAACGTCACATTCCAGCACTTGGAGAAGACACAACAGAAAAGCTGCCGTGTGGTTTTTGTTGCCAAAATAAAAAGATATATCATATATGTAACAGTAAAATGAATTCCTTGGGCACCTTGAGGAAAAGAGGGTTGTTAGTTTGTTCTAGTTTGAATACTAAATGAATCACATATTTAAAGGAATTGAGAGGCCCCTTGTTACCAACAGAGGTGAATTCTCGTTCTTTATTTCGGTCAGGCCAGCAACCCTCATTATAAAAGGCCTATGTGTGCAAGAGCCTAATAGCATCGTATAAACATATGGAAGACAGATGGAGGAAAATGAGAAGGGGCTGCAATAAAAGTATAGAGCAGCGTTTTTATGTTCTTAAGCACCCCTTTTAGGGAGCGGGAGCCATATGGGGCTGGCTGGAGCCATCTGGTGGTGGTCCACATGGCCCCGACTGCAGTGAGGAGGAAAGGGTACATGGGAGGCTGTAAGTGCTCCCATGGACCAGTATGAGCCTGTTCTGGGTTGTTACATTCCTGTGCCCACCAGAGGCGAGGGAAAATAACGGAGCAAGAGATGTGACTCATTTCCCATCTCTTTCCCACAAAAGTCACTTAGTTGTGAAAATGGAAGTACAAGGCCCGATAGAAAAGACCTTCTGTGCTCACAGAGGAGCGTTGAAGTGATGACTCATCAATATGGATGTGCAAGTGGAAAAACGTTGACTTAATTGAATGGAATAGGAAGGAGAATGCCAGAGCTATTGACATAATGGGATCCTGTTGCCACCTGAATCAAGAAGCGAAAACAACCGTTCCTACGGTATTCTGTCACCAAGTCAAGCTGAGCTTTAAAAGCAATAATATTAGAAATGCTTAAGAGCAACCTACTAATGGTTTTCCCAAGTGATTCGATGCACACAACGAATGCCCTGTGTGTTTTCATCATCCCCTGTAGGCATACCTTTCCTCCCTTGTAGGACCTGGCATAAGGAGTCTTTCCAGGAATAGCTGTAGAATGAGTGAATGAATGAAAGAGTGAGTGAGCGATTCTTCATTGTTTCAAATGGAAAAACTATCTGAGTCTGTCCACTGGTTATCTATTTATGAACATGGATCGTGACTGAAACAGCTTTCAAAGGTGACCTTTTCTGTCAAGGTTCAGGTTTTGGCTTACACCTTTGGAATGATAGAGAAAAATCAAGCAGCTTTGTCTTTCATCTTCCCAGATGTAGGGGAGACGTTGTTGAGCACTCCCAGCCCAGGAGAATTACAGGCAAAAAAAGCAGGCAAGGAGAAAGAAAAAAAAGGAGTTGTGAGTAGAGGAGCTGGAGGGAAGGACGAGTGAGTTGCCTCCAGCCAGCCCTGGTCTGTGGGGTCTTCCGGGAATCCTGCTCCGATTTAACTCTTCCCGCTCCGCTCCGTGCAAAGGATAGAGTATGTTTTCTTTAGGGCTGCTGTTGTTGGGAATAGTAACTTCTGGTTCAAAGCAACGGCAGGAGGGTTGGGGGGATTATGTATTGGATGGATTGCATAGGGAAAAACCTTATTGATTTTTCCCTCTGAAGCCGCGTTATGACAGGTCCATCTAAGGGAGAACCCAAGAGGAAACACATTATCGGCTGGCCTCTTTTCCCCCCATTTTCTTATTCTTTATTCATACTTTCGAAGCAAATGTGCTTAAGGGTGTGGGTTTTTAAGAAAAGCAAATGAAGGGAGAATAGGATAGCAGGAATAGGTAAAGCGAAATGACTCATTCTTATTAAGTTGACCTGCTTTCTTCAAGGTGTGACTGGTTTCGTTACTCAGGCATATTCTGTGGATGGGACTCGGGGTGAAAGCGCCTGCTGTGATCATGTGTTACTGGTCGGCTTTCAGCAGCCCCTCGTAGGGTGAGCATATCATTGAGAAACTGAGTCCTTTACCCTTGAAACAAGGCAATGACCTCTGTGAACGTACCTGCCTTACATCATAGGGGTGTCTCACTCCATTGGTAGAGTCCAGTTACTCCGTTGCCAGCTTACTGGTGGCTTTTTTAGAGTAATGCACCGACAGAACCTTGAGGAAAGCGAGGACAGGCACTGGTTTTTATGAACTACTTTGTCTTCTTCCCAGCTAGCACCAAGCCCGTCCTAAGTGCTGGATGCATGTTTCTTGTGAAGAAAAATTAAGAAGGGTTTTTCCCTGGTCTTTGGAAATACAGAAGACAACTTAGGTGAACTTCTTCCTTGATCTCTTTGCCTTTTAGGATTTCTAGAAAGATGTTTGGCATTTCTGTCCCAGACTTCCTCTTGCAGGTGGCAAAGACCTCAATGACCATGTAGCAGCTTAGCTTGTGCAAGCTAAACATCACTGAGGCTAGACCCAGAAAATTTTTAGATGGTGGTAAATCACTCTGTGGTTTTGAGCAATTCAGATGCATCTAAAATTATCTTGTATGTATCTTTTGTTTTTATTTTTATGATGTCCCATAACAAATAGACCAGTGGATCTTACACACTAGGGGCACATGGGGCACTTTTTAAAAATACAGCGCCTGGGTCCCACTCTGGAGGTTCTGATTCAGTTGACCTGAGATGGGATCTAAGCCTTCTGGGCTTTAAAAGCTCCCAGGTGATGCTAATATGCAGCCAGATGTGAGAGCCACAGAAACAGAACATTGACCTTGTCTCATCTACCTTCCTCCAACTTTTAAAGATTTATTCCACGTTTCGAAGAGTTGCGAATATAGATCTGCCCTGGAGACTTAGGGGCCTCAGTTCCCTTTTCCTCCACCTCCCCTGTATCCCCCACCTCCTCTCCAGGGCTTCATGTCCACTGGTCAGCCTCATGTCCACTGGTCCCTGCCTCTGCAGTCTGAGAAGTTCACAATTTACACACCTGCACTGCTGGTCCACCCCTTGAAATCATTTTGAAAAGAAACTATCAGAGGAGACAGAGGTACTGGACACAGAGCTGTTGAATTTCTCTACTCTTGGAATGAGGAG